CCATAATTAGTGACAGGTGTACGGGAGGACTGGGTTTGCTCTACGATACGTGGAGCTTCCAAGTTATTATTTGTTTGAACACCTCTCCTAGTGCGTACTCCAGTAGCATTGTGATCATGAGCACCACGAGTGACAGGACCACTAATCTCTAGAATTGGCTCTATTACTCCTATAATAGGTTAAAGACAATCATCGGTTAGAGTTAATCAAGGGACCTAATACACCTACAGGCCCTAGACCATGCTCTGATACCATAAAAAGATGTCACATCCTGGATTTTTTTTTATTTTATATATCTTTTCACACATTTAGGCCAAATAGATAAACATCACTTTATTCATCATTCATAAACATTTATTACAATTCGTTTATTACAATCCATTTATTCATCGAATCATAAATAGAAAAGTAAACATAGTGATGTTAACTTCAAGAATCATCCAAGTGGCTCTACTTAGCGGTAGAGGAAGGTCCGCTCTCCACTGGAATCCGATTTAGTACTAGAGGGAGGCTGCTCTGAAAATCAAAAACAAAGAAAATTCAGCAACACTGAGTAGGAACCCCAAAAGTCAACTCAAAATGTATACATGATCAAAATTCAATCACTCATCCCATTGGCGTATATCAAATACCCGAAGGAGCACTCCCCCAACAGCGGATGAAGATGCTTTATCCTACGGGATGAGTTTGTGTTCTCCCAACAGCGGATGGAGGCAAACTCATATCGCACTCCCAACAGCGGATGGAGTGGTGTCCCACACCCGCCAAAGTGGGGACACGTTCCTCCCAATAGCGGATGAAGGAACCGTCCAGTCGCCACGTCTGACGGCCCGCTAATCCCCAAAGGGAATCGCCCTACCTGCTCTCGGCAGGGAAATAATAGAATCTCACACCGATCATGTCCATATTGGGATGAAATAATACATTTGAAACACCTCTTTCAAATATCATCAATATCAAATAATACAAATTAGCCCTCAATTGGCTTGAACTCTAGTTCAATCGATTCAATTGAACTCAATTAACTAGAACCTAACTGAACCGATCTCTAATCCTTATATAACTAGTCTAGAACCACCCTAGACCAGTATAATTTGGACTAGATTAGATTCAATTTAGGTTAAACTAACTTGAATAAGTCAAACCATTCGGAATCACCCTGAATTGATCTAGACTGATCAAGTCTAGTTTAGTTCAATCAATGTTTGAGTTCAAATTCAATAATAATATTGGGCTAGATTGGGCCAGCCCATCTACTGGTCATGTGCATTATACATAACTGAGCATGCATCACACAAAGCTGGCCCAACCCTGACCCATAGACTGGTCATGTGCGTCGCATGTGATCGCCCATGATGGTTGGGCTAGGTTAGCCTACGGGCCAAGGCCTGACCTGTGGGTTGGGCCTGCTGTGAGCAATTTCATTCCAATTAATATCCAATTTCATGCTACAACATATATCCATTAACAATATAAATAAAAACATAATAACGCATAAAAAATAGATAAGGAGAAAAGTTTTAATATAAGGAAATAACATCCTATGAATAGAAATCATAACACATTAAAAGATAGACCGGGAGATAAGTTTTAATACAAGGAAATAATATTCTAAATTCAAATAGAAATCATGCTTTCAACACCTATAAAATGTCAATATATTCTAGTCAAAATTTAAATAATTCAGAATAACATATTTTAAATTTTAGATCAAAGAATATCAAACAAGATTTTAGATAACATATTTTAATCTAACAAGATTTTAATCCAAATAAGATTAAAGATGAACTGTAATGCTAGGAAATATCATATAAAACATATAAATATTTAAATCTACAATAAAAACCTTAATCATGGGTCAAAGAATATTATAAAAACTTTAACTGATTACTTTAATATAAAAATTTTGATATTTAAAGGATTGATATATATTTTTCAAACTACAAAACTTTCAACAGAATCAAAATAAAAACTAAAACTTTTATATTCAAGAAAGACAGGGAAACCTACCTCTCGTCAGTAGGATATAACTCCTTGTTCCTCTCGCTGCCAGGCTCGACTAGGTGAGGAACGAAGGAGAGAAATCTCTCTCCTTAAATACGAGGAGGTGAGCCTCCATTAAAGGAAATATATTTTTATTTTCGTATTTATTTAATATAGATTATTTCTATTTAATATACTAACAAATATGATCTCATCCTATTTGGAATGCTTAATAGTTATTTCCTAATTTATATTAACAAATAAGGAAATAGATTAAGATTTCCTAAATTATAATGGCAAGTAAGGAAAATAAAATTTAAATCTCAATCTTAAATATTTGATTTGATTACATGGAATGTTAGCTTAGTACAGCAAAGCCACACAAATTTTAATGGCTTGTTAGTTACTTTGGAAAAGCATTGGTTTAAAACAAATTACCATCACTTTTGCTCCTGATGTACTTTCAAATGTGCTCACATCTATCATTGCTCCAATGAGGACAAATACTCCCTATGTTTTGTCCTCCCTTTGTCAATATTCATGCGACTATTTGATTGAATATTGTCTCTAGAATTTTAAAAATCAATTTAAACATTGCTCTGTGTTTCATCTATAAAATCCCAGATCTGTCATGTGTTATCAGGATCCATCGATCTTCTCTGAAGTTTTTTAGCTTCTTGTTCTTTTAACTTCTCGAAGAATGCAGAGCCACTATACAGGAAATCAAGGTACACTTTCTAGGCCTTCAGGTTTTCAGTCAGATCAATCAAGTTTCCACAAAAACTTGTGTCTGTCTGTAAGTTCTTGCACCAATTCTTGATTTTCTGACGATTATTTGCCATTCGATTTTGTGACTCGAAGCTGTTTTGTAATTACACCAATCTATGTTTGACACCCTTTCACTCCTGAAATAACCTAAAGAGGATGAACTCTTTTATGTTGCACTGATTCCTGCTGCAACTGCCTTTCCATCAATCTATATGTTACATCTTCATTGTCATTCCTTAATTTCTTCATGTAACAATCTGTTTTGTGTGTTTCAGTTGTGAAACCAACTTGAGATGTCAATTATTCTGTCTACATGTTTACTCTGCTGGTGCTTGATTTAAGTCTATTAAAGCTAATTTACTTAGCCTCCTCACACCATTGTCCTTGTTCTGTAAGTCTTATAGAGACAACAAGATATGAGAGGGTTATATGTATGACAGCTACCACCTATTGACTAGTGAACCCTCTGATTGAAACTTATTTGAAGGGGGCCAAAGCTTGAACACCAACAAAAGAAAGAAAACTGTCAAGTAATTGCAGGTGCACTATATGCATTTAGTGTTGGACTAAATTTTACGAGGTTGCAAAGCTTCATATCGAAATTATCTTATCTCATTCTATTTGATACATTGCATTGATTTATACTTCATTATTTTCTACATGTGTCACATTTTCCAGTGGCTTTTTCTTTAGCTTCAATTGCTGAAGATAACCCCCTTGCTGTATTATTTATGCTTGCCAATTTGCTGCCCGTTCTCTTAAAATTATCTTGTGTGCTTGCAATGTTGGATTTTGTTGTGGCACAAAATAATCCATATGTCATGAAGAAACTTCTTGTTAAAACCTAACATTATAATATCTTCGAGAAGACATTCATGCAATATTTAAATGGAAGATTTTTAACAATCATAGTATAATAAATATTATGAGCTTATCTTTTGTGATTAGTTTTGAGTACTTCAAAACAAAAGTTCTTGTCATGAGAACAGTGTATGCTCATCTCTCATTAATTCTTTAATGCATTGACCTAGTAAAAGAAGAGCAATTTTGTTCTTCATCTTTCATTAATGTACTCTTTTTATGCTTATAAAGATTGCAAATATTTTGTGCACTTCTTCGGAATAAGTTGACGTAATACAGGAAGCATCGAAGAGGGTCTATGTTGGTTGTTTTCCAAAATATGATCTACCTGTGGGACAATCATCATGAGAACAGGCTGCTGATCTATTTTCGTTCCGAGGGAAGGTTTGGTACCCAATTGAAAGGATCATCGACTGATCGATTCAGATTTATTTTGATTCCATTAGAAATGAGGACGTAAAAGTTGTCACTTGTTTTACAACTGAAACTGATTTGATCGTGTTTTTGTTTTTCTTGAATTAGAAAGAAAGTATAGTGTTTTCAGAGTTATTATTGAATTATTTCTTTTAGAACATTTCTTAAAAAATATCTTTTTCCCTTTCCAATATATTATTAGGAATGTCAACATGATGGGATGACCGAGTGCTTTCCCATTTGTTATCCTCGTCTCAATAATTCTCATCCCTTTTGTGTTCATGTCATTCCCCATACGGACAGACAAGATAAGGTCATCCCCTTGTGTTCATGCCATTCCCCATATGGACGAGGATGAGAAACTCATAGTTTTTGTTTTTCCTTTGAATTGAAAGAAAAAAAATAGGAGATCTGTCTTTTCAGAATTATTCTTCTAATAAAAAATATATTTCTTTTGAAATATTTCTCAGAAAATATCTTTTCTCTTTCCACCATATTATTAGGGATGTCGACATGATGAGAATGACGAGTGCTTTTCCATTGTTGATTAAGTTCACCCCATTTCCCATTTCCCATTTGGACGGACGGGTACAAGGGTGAGGATGAATTTATATATATATATATATATATATATATATATATATATATATATATATATATATATCAAATTTATTTTTTTTAATATGTATATTTTTATTTATATTATTATTAATAAATTATATATTGTATATAACATAAAATATCTGTTGATATGATTAGGGACAGATCCCGAATTTATATCTGTTTATATGATTGACACCTCTACACGTTTCAACGCCATCTAAAACTTATGATGAAAGGTTCTTAAACTTGCAGGCTAAACCTGAATCTCACCTTATCGAATCAACACCACACAAAGTAGAAACATTCGCATTCAGATCAAGAGGAGCCAGAGAGGCAAAACCCATTTTTAGATAGCAACAATTTCACACATGGAATCTCGGAAATAACCACCACACAGGCCCAATAAATTTACAAAGATACACATATGCTCTTATGTAAAAAGACTTTTTTAAGTTTCTACAAGCATTTTCATCTCCACACAGGCTTCAAACCTTCCAAGCTAGAAAAATAAGAAAAGGTGAAGAAAAGAAAAGGTACATCGAAGAAGCTCCGCTTCCAAGTTTCTACAAGCAGGCATTTGGAGCATGTTCGCTACGCTCCAAAGCCTGCTAACCGTGCAAGGCCATGAACAAGCTCTGCTTCCTTGCATGCTCCGGAATTAGACGCTCAAGAACATCCGGCGGAATTCCCCTTATCTCTGCCAAGATTACCACATGCTTATGAAAAACATGAAAAAGATGGCGGGAAAAAAAAAAAGGGAGGATGAAAGAAAGAACAATAATTGTATTCGGTAAAATGGTTAGTCTCACCTGTCAGACAATATCTATATGGCTAAATACTAATGGGTTGCATGTGACTCTTTGTTGTCTTCTGAAAAGTAACAAGTGAGCTAACAGGATGCAACCGCAGAAATAATGGGGACTGAAGCAGTCTTATAGTAAGTACGATTAATTCGCCCTAGTGCTCCAAGTTCCTCTATGATATTAATGAAACTAATTCATACGATTCAGCATCCAGCACAATGTCTATTTTCAGCAGCGTAATGTAACAAGGCCAGAAAAAAATTCATGTGTCAACTGCAGAAAGACATTTAGAAAAGTCTTTGAATTGTATCATCATGAACCGGAAAGCTTAAAAAATCATCTATTCGTTCAAATCTTTATTGCGAATACTATAAATTACACATTCCTAGGTTGAATCAAAATGACTTACTTCAATTCAAACTTTGCATGCCGGCCGGGCCAGCGGCCAGCAGGTACATGTCTTAACAGGCACCTCATCATAATACTGGTTGAGGTGCGTGGGTTCCATATGCTGGCAGAGCATGCATCAAGAGAACCATGTAATGTACCAGTTTATCTACAGTGTAGCATGTATCAAACAGCCAGGACTGCAAGACAATGTAATTTCTGCGCTTGTATTCACAATTATTACAGTTTGCAGGCTTTCGCCAGTTGCAGGGTCGAATTATATTGTAGAAGCAATTTTGGTGCTTGGTTCACTTCTGTCATTTGAAGCAAATTGGTCTTAGGAGTTAGGCCTAACATAGTCACATGTAGTCCATGTTGGGCAGTTCGAATCCTTGGGTCATGCACAAGTTTCAGAAGTTGCAAAAAAATGCTAGAGAATGTGATAAAAGTTTCTGCCCTTTACTAATGCTAAAGCTGGAAACAAGTTTACTACTAACCATGAGATTTGAAGTTGAAGAGAGGAGGAAGTGGTCGACCATTGGGGAGACGAGTATTTGGGTCTCTCAGCTCATCAAAGAAAGGGTGCAAGCAGGCTTCTAGCTGCAGAAACTCACAATTTCAATATTAGACGCCATACAAGCACACTACATCTGACAAATATAACCAGCATAATCTGATGTAAACTTACAGCAGTGCACCGCAGATTTGGTGAGTACTGAAGAAATCTAGAAACAAGGTCAACTGCTTCTGGCGGCAACCGCTTTTGGAAAACCTGAAGCACCCAAGAGGTTAGATAAAACTAAGATCTCCAGAGGTACTAAATTATATCATTACAAAAACAGTAATATTTGAACTGGCTGCATACACAAAGCTATTTGATTTCCCAATAAGCAAATGGCCAGTGAACTTTGCTTATATCTCAAACTTAAAAAAGTACCACAAAGATTATTCGACCATTAAAGATAATCAACAGCATACTCTTTGAAGTGGTGGCTGATGTTTTTGAAACCAACAAGCATTCATGATGCATGATGATGCAGGTTAGTCCATCCTTATACAATACAGTTAAATATGTCAACAGAAATGTGCAGTATGACCACAGGATTTCTAATAGAACTACCCATAAAGAACAAGTAGATTCTCTCGAAGGGGCCTTAGATCTGTTCAATCCTGAATTATGAAAGACTGTGTTTCATGAAATAAGTTTTTAAATTTGCACATATTAAAAAATCGCATCCATTCCAACTCAGGAGATGGGTCAAAACTTCTTCCACATGGATTTCAACAGTTTGTTTTATTATTTGGCTCACTCATGTGCACTGATATGCATGCTGGTCTGATCATGGTGCGATTTGGATGCAACTCTAGTTCAGCTGGGGTTCATCATCTTGAGCAATAGATGAAATCAAGTGTGAAACTACAACAAGAAGAAAATGCCATAATGGCCAAGTATATGTGGTTGGCTATAACATCTTTTTTCCATCATTGAGCTTTGTGTAAGATATTATTATTAGTTAAACTAACTACAACAGAATTTCCTTCTATCCTTCCAAGCTATCCTTCATAGCAAAGTTGTCTAATGCCTCTTTCTATAATTCTGGTCACCACAGATACTGATAAACTAGCCTCATCTATATGGGGCATATATTCGTAAAGAGCTACACCTAATTGTATTTGTTATTCTATATTTTCTAGCATCGTCCGTCGCCGACCTATTTCGGGCAATACATACTGGTCTGATAGGGGACCAGCACGTGGACCGTCTTGTATCAGGCAGTCCATAACAAGGGACCCCGTATCTCTTGATACGGGATCTGTACCGGTCGGAATGGTCAAAATTCAACCATTACCGATTGGTGGTTAGATTTTGACCGATATCGATCAATGGCTGAGATTTGTTTCTAAGGGTTTTTAAACCTTTTCTACTCCCTCATTCCCTCCCCTTTCACTCTCTCTAATTAATCTACTCTTGCAATCACTTTTTCACTCACATATTTCTTTCATTCTCTTATTTGCACTCTCTTGAACTCTATAAAGCTGTAATTATAGATTGGATCAAAATTGAGGCTAATTAGGGAGAATTAACACCTAAGTTAGGGGAAGAACTTTCTAATCAAATGTATGTAGACAACTTCTCAATCGCATTCAACAACCTGCTCGGTTCAGAGACATGGCAATGATGTAGACAATAGTGCGTTGACCGATGATGGTGGCGACACCGGGGAGTCAATAGTCCCGTCTACACAGTTTGAGAGCAGTGTATGGATCGAGTAGTACTTTATGTATACCACCCAAGATTCAGATCCTGGAGCTCGAGGTGATAGTTGGTCATTCTTTTTCAAGTAACAGTACGGTGATCGATTTTATGATACAAAGCAACAGATCAGTAACAAAAGTAGAAATTCTAACATTCTCAATGCTCCGCACTAATATATGTTACAATCGTACTTACATCAGGAGCTACCTCAGACATGTGTGGTTCACGATGATCCGACTACGATCATTATCACATTGATGCACTAATGACATATGATGTATCAGTATACTATGTCACAGGGTCTGCTGTACCGAACCGTACCGCCCGATATGGGCGGTACATACCGGTCCGACAGGTTGTCGGTACACGGACCGCCTGTTACCGGTCCGAGTGCACTGTAGCATTGCTACAGTACTCGGCACACCTGGGTGTACCGCTCAGTATACCGTACCGTACCGATACCGAGCCCAGGTCGAAATACCGGTACGGTACGGTTCGGTATTGCGAACCTTGCTATGTCATAGGATCAATTTCGGGATTGGGTCCGATAAACATATCAAATTGATAGATACGTAGGATTGAAAACCCTGATCCACCACCCATGGAGTCCCGTCGTTCTTTTTGACAATAGAACCAGATATATTCATCGACCAATTACCTAATTCATTTGAATCTTAAAGTTTAAATTATTTAGTAAATAATCTAACAATTTACTATTATTTTCTAATTTAGATTACTTTTGCTAAAGTATGCTAAATTTATATTTGTTTATAATTTAAAAATCTTAATATAAATTTTTTTTTTCTATTTTTAGAAATTTTCGGAGCTACTTTTGACCATTTTTCTATGCCTTCGGTATGCCTCACCGTACTGACACATGGTACATCAGTACGAAGCAATACATATCATACCACCGGCTGATGGGTACATCGGTACGAACCGGTAAGACAAACCTTGTTTTCTATAAATCCCGTACATTCTGTCACGGACAAACTTCTAAATAGGATGTTTGATGTAATGCTTATGTATGTCCGTGTCTTTTGGTATGTTCATGCTTTGTACAGCATGTAGAAGGACGGCCGAAGGCTTTATAGTCCCATTTTAGTTGGGTTGGTGGCCGCTTTAGGCTTGTAAATAAAGGTTGTGTCATGTGGACACGTGTGAGAGATTTTCGATCTGTAATGAACAATTTTACCCTTTGTTGTGCAACTGTTCAGAGCTTGTAAAGTCTGTTTGTAATTTGCTTTGTCTATGAAGTGTTTTCGGATATGTTTGCTTGTGGATCCCGATTGAGGCGTTCTCTCTAACCCGTTCTCTCTTTTGTTGGTCCTAAGGGACAATGGGAGGCTTCGGGGAGGCTGACCTTTGCGGACGGACACGCAAGGGTGCCGCACGACTTAGGCAAAACCAGCTAAGTCCGTGACAGATGGTATCAGAGCGGGACAAGCACTCATAGAAACACTTAGCATGCAAATGTAGGGGACCTAGTGGGACTGCGTTGAGGGCAGTCAGCACACGCGCGACCATTTGGGGGGAAAACAGGCATGGAGATGTAGGGAAAAGGAGTCGCTCGGAGGAGCGGGCATCTGACATTGGCATTCAGAAGAATGACCAATCCTTCTCGCAAGAGGCACCACAAGAACAGGCAAGCTTGGAAGAATGCGTAGTGCACAAAGGTTGGGATGGCTGAGTTTGAGCTACGGCTCAACGTTGACAACTATACTTGATGGTGTTCAAGGCAAGCGAGACGCTTGGTAAAGGATGAGACCATGTAAGGTGGAATGAGTTGCTCAACGACCAAAAGAGTTTTGCAAAGCTCACAGAGGTGAGGGGAATTGCTAGCTCGAAGAATTTGGTACTCATGCATGGGCTTGTATGCAGACGATGGAATGTTCGTGGTCATCTCAAGGCGACCGAAACTCGGCGCCATGGAGCATTGAAACTTTCTCTTCGGCATGTGAAGGATACGTCCGTAGGAGGCTGAAGTGTGCAACGAGTTCAGCATGTTGCTAGGCCTTGAGTGGTGCAGCGGGGGCTGTATTGACGTGGAGTCGTAATCTAGCAAGTGCGTTTGCAGGAGGCAGAATAATGCACAGTTTGTTCAGCAGATCGGAGTAGTCCGAGGGGACGGTGGTCTCCAAAATGAAGAGAGATGTTGCTCCAACGGGACAGTTATCCAGGAGGGATAAGTCCCGGCTCTCCAGATGGAGAATCATGTGGGACAGACCTCACAAGTTGAGGAGGAGTACCTCAACAAACAACAACTCCACGAAGCTCAATGGACTGAGCAAGCGGCGAGGAGTCGTCGCATGAGCTCGCTCGAGAGTATGCATTGGTGGATGCATTGCGAGATCAAGTGGGGGAGCGACCCAAAGCAACACAAATGAAGGCACACTTGGAGTCAATATGGAGATCAGACTCAAGGGAGGGCTGACCCGTGGGATGGTGGGCACAAGGGCCACCAACAACTCAATGCAAAAACGAGGAGCGGAGCAACTTGGGTGTAACTTTGCGAAGTACCCAAGTCGCATAAAGGGAGCCAACATAGAAGATAGAACATGGAGCGGAGGCATAGTGCTTTCCTTGGACAGAGGTCAAGGACATGAACTCTTGTAGAGGCAAGAGCAGGATCATGTTGTTCCATGGGTCATTCATTCTGACGGAGCGGACTCATCTTGCATGGTGCCAAAGACAAAGGGAGCTTCTGGGCACATGCACTTTATCTCGGAGGAGCATTTGATGGAGGAACTAAGGCGACTCAATTTGCGGAGGCGAAGTTGGGTTCAGAAGGCCTTAGCACGGGGCAAGAGAACAGGCGGATACTCTTGAAGAATATGCCACAGTGTTGTCATTCAAGTTGCTATAAAGGAAGCGGTGCGCAACGAAGATTGTGCTGGTAGGGGTAGAGGCCTAGGATCCAGACAATGGTGCACTAATTGCAGCGAAGTCGGGGGACTTCGGGAGCTACTAGGCGACGAACTGTCCTAGAGCGGTGCTTCATCTAGGTGTGACCCAAGAGTGGGTGGATGAAGATCGATTGCCAAAGGAGCGAACAAAATCGAAGGTGGAAGAGACCCTGTGATGTATTGGCAGAGGCCATACATGAAGGGTTCACAATTCGAGTTCATTCCACAAGGATCAGAATGTAACAGAGATGTCACCAAGAGGCGACATGATGCAGCGGATCGTGGTGGAACAGTTCGTGGCAATGCGATACACATAATCTAGTCCCGGGAGGGACTAGATCATATAGAGGTATGATCGGGAGCCACTGGAAGCTCCACTTCGATGAACAACACGACGACAAGAATGACTATGGATTCAAGGAGTGAAGGCCATGGTACTGCAGAGGCAGGTCTTCCGTGCATGCATCGAATTTTGCATCGGATGAAAGCCTTGGTCATCATCATATGGGGGCTGTGTTCCACCAAGGGAAAAGTTCGAATGCAAGTACCAGTGAGTCCCATGGGAGGGACTTGATCATGCAGAGGTATGATTGAAGCAGCTGGAGAGTTGGACTGCTCCAGAGCCCATATTCGCTTAAGGGAACCCGACAAGTCAGAGGATAAGGTCGAGTAAGCGAACGTTGCTACCAAGGAAGCTAAGGAGAACAGAATCGGTGCAAACCTTACAACGTAATGGCAGAGGCCATGCATGGGAGTTGCAGTCTGTCTTTCCATCGACCAAAGGGAGCTGCTTGGAGAACACAGAGGTGTTGAAGCAGGGGGTCGAAAGGGGTGAGGAAGCGACAACGAGTCCAGAGAGACTTAGCTACCCAAAATCAAGCATCAGTTAGAATGGAGGTGGACTCGGAGGAGTACCACAGAGGCATATCTACTGATTGTGAAGAAAAAGGATACAGATGCGAGGCGACGGATAGTAGTGCCATGGGCATGGCAGTGCCATGGTACCGCAGAGGCGGGACTTCCGTGAAAGTCATTGATCCCTTGCTCTCATGGAGGGAGAGCGCTTGGTCGTGAAAGGGGCCGAGGAGGTGGAGCATGCAGAGGCAAACTCCAAGTACCGAGACAAGGCTGAAGGGCAGAGGCCAAGGAACTTCGTAAGACCAGTGTCAATGAGTTTCTCATCAAGATAGCGGAAAGTGAAGGACCTCGGGTCATGCAAGAGTGCATGACCAAGGAACGAAGTAGGCAGTACGTGGTGTTGTACCTTCGCTACTCAGGGGAGTAGGCGACAGGGTTGATGGAGAAGACGGTACAATCCCAGAGGCGACCAAATCTATTAGAGAATTACTCCAAGTTGGGGTGAAAACTTCCTGCATTCCAGAAGTTCGATGGCATTGAGAAGGTGAATCATAGTAGCTAACTCAACGCAAGGAGTGCAAACACTTCAAGTGCTTCAGAAGTGTGAGCAAAGAGCAGGCGAAGGCCAATAACCAGCTCGATGTATGGAGTACAACCTCGAGGAGGCGGGCGAAGTCAAGTAACCTTTGCCTTCTCAACTCTTAAGAGAATGGGCGAAACCGAGTACCCCAATTCTCTTATCTATCCAGCAGAGGAGCTCTGCATATGTTCAAAGACCTTTCGAAGATAATGGAAGGCAATAGTTGTCAAATCCTTACCAATGGTGATCAGTGTTACTGAGAGTAGATTGTCCGCTTCATTTTCCAACGAAATGCCAATCGAAAGCGGAAGTGATGCGAACCTACTTGGATGTGACAACTAAGTGAAAGAAGAGTCAATGAGCAAATTTTGTGGAGGAAGGACTCAAAACTTCAGAAGTTTGCGAGACGATGCTCGTTAAAAGCTCCAACAAGCATCCACCCAGTTCAAAGAGCATGAGGCATTTGAGAAACTGACGCAGTAAGAATGGTCTTTTCCTTCATTTGGAAGATCCGCAGGAATCAACAAGGATCAGCACAACTCAGCCAACCCCACACCAGAGTCAAAGTCATTGGTGAGTTGAAGCAGCATGGCGGATCAAAGGTTCGACTACTCAAAAACAGCAACGGAGAGCAGCTGGGAGCCAAGAGGCGCATTGTAGCTAGAGCAGAAGATTGAAGACTCAGCAAAGGCGAGGAGTTGCAGTGTCGGCAAAGGCTTCAATGAGGACGTCGAAGGAAGAAGTGGGGGAGAATGTCACGGACAAACTTCTAAACAGGATGTTTGATGAAATGCTTATGTATGTCCGTGTCTTTTGGTATGTTCATGCTTTGTACAGCATGTAGAGGGACGGCTGAAGGCTTTATAGTCCCATTTTAGTTGGGTTGGTGGCCGCTTTAGGCTTGTAAATAAAGGTTGTGTCATGTGGACACGTGTGAGAGATTTTCGGTCTGTAATGGACCATTTTACCCTTTGTTGAGCAACTGTTCAGAGCTTGTAAAATCTGTTTGTAATTTGCTTTGTCTATGAAGTATTTTCGGAGATGTTTGCTTGTGGATTCCGATTGAGGCGTTCTCTCTAACCCGTTCTCTCTTTTGTTGGTCCTAAGGGACAATGAAAGGCTTCGGGGAGGCTGACCTTTGCGGATGGACACGCAAGGGTGCCGCACGACTTAGGCAAAACCAGCTAAGTCCGTGACAATTCACTTGAATGTTCTCAGCTCAGCTATTCTAACATTTTATACATGTTTCCTTACTATCTATTATTTTGATCTATAGAAAATTGCTAACTGCACAATTGTCTTATAAAAATTTCTTTTAGCATGTGATGATCACACTAAACTCCTCAAGGTTCTTTTTATTTTAAACATCCTATTTTTCATCAATAGAGAATGCTTATAAATAAAGGATCCAAGATACCTAAAAATTGTACTTATAAAACACATTTTATTATCAATCTTAACTTCACCCTCGGTTCTTCCATTAGCATTGCTGCAGATATATCTCATATACTGCCTTGCTCATATTTTAAAACCTTTTATTTCTTAAGAATGTCTTCATAACTCAAAAACTAGAACTAACCGCAACACATCAATCAAAACAATATCATTAGCAAACATGTTACATCGTGGAAACTCAATCATTAACAATATCAATGGATAGAAACTTAAAGTTGATTCTTGGATAGAAACAATATCATTATTCAACTCACTAGGAACAACTCCTAGTTTCACTACTCTATCATCAATTTTTTTTATTATATTAAATTATATTACAAAATATTTTTTATTTTCTAAAATCCATTACAACAAATCTCTAGAAACCATCATAAGCTTTTCTATATTAAAGAAAAATCTATGTGATCTTTTCTTTCTTATTATTTTATCATCTAAATAACTTCCACAGTGGATCTTTCAAGTACGAAACAAAACTGATTTTTTGAAAATATTCATCTCATATTTTATTCTTCATTTAATAATCTTTTTCTACAATTTCATAATATAACATTAGCCTAATTCCCCTATACCAAGTGTAACTTTCAATATCTGTCACATCTTGATGGTTAGCACATAGATGATAGGTCTTAGGTTCAAGTCTGTGTAACAACATCTTCTACGTAGTTTAATATAATGGAAGGAAATTAGTTTTAAGAAAAGAACTTTGAATATCATTTTTTTTATTTTAATATTTTATTAAACAAACTAGTTAACCAAATTATCCTTTGATCTCATAAACTACCATAATCCGCATTAGGGATATTTTCAAGTCTTATACTTTTACCTATTTTTATTAACTCTTGACTCACAAAGGTTTCCCTGATTGCATCTCTACTACAAACTAAACATCATGAGTACAAATTATCTCGTGATGTCTAAAACTATCTAAATGTACCATTTATAATAATATATAAAGTTCAAAATAATTTTTTTTAGGTTCATTAGATCTATCCTCTATAGGCCTTTAACACATCTTCCAATATGACTTCTTAAATCAAGCAAAAAGTTAAAACTGAAGTCATTCCAAAGATAGAATCAGCAAGCACATTCATGCACTTTAGTTGTTTGAATATAATCAGCAAGCACATTCAAACAAGAAATAATTATCAATCATATTTGGTGATATAGAATGGATAAACTCTATATAACATAAAAACAACTTCGAGATTACCTTGTGCCATGGATGAGCCTTTATTTGTGGAAACTTAAACTCAGTATAGTTTGGATTCATGCACTTTATCTCTTCTCTTGTAGGTGTTCCAAGAACCTTAAGACATATCCAAGAATATAATTGGTATCAGGAAAACCACTTGAATTACAATTTCTGTACTTTGTTTATTATCCTACCTTGATAATCTCCACCAGCTGGTCAACACCACTTTCTCCAGGAAATAGGGGCTAAAACAGCCATGTGCCCACATAATCAAAATCATTAGAAAATATTAAGGCACCAGATACAGTAATTTAGTATTTAGTATTTGCCACAATATTTGTGACACCATATTTTAAATTGAGTGAAAAAAACTACCTGCCCAAGAAACAACTCAGCCATCACACAACCAGTGGACCACATGTCGATCGCAGTTGTATACTCAGTCGCACCAAATATAAGCTCAGGTGCTCGATAATATCTTGAGCATATGTAAGAGATATTAGGTTCCCCTTTGACCTAAAATATGACAAAATAAAAGCACATTGGAGCATTGTTTTGTCTTAAGGCCCAAAACAAAGAAGAGAAGCTAGACAGGAATTGCTTACCAATACTTTTGCACTACCAAAATCACACAACTTGAGTTGATATGTATGTGGATTCACCTGAAATTGACATTTAACATGTAACACAAAATGAGCTAACCAAGAAGAAATAAATGGTAGATAAGGCAGTAATAAATCAGATCTTAACTATTTTGATTTACATCAATATCACTATTCCACTACACTGTGAATACATTACTTTTCTTGGATAATTCTACTTTACTATGCATGTGAATTCATAATGTTATATGCTTTACATGGTCAGTCTCAGTCCCAGATAAACAGATGTATGATCAACAGTGCAAAACTTTGTAAACACATATGAAGTATATTATTACTAAACATATGTTCATGTAGGTTGTCACCCAGAATTGGCACCTCACATCTTCACCATTAGAACACAAAGAAAGGAAGCCAACCCAAAGCAGCAATTTGCATATGCATAGATGAAGTGACAACCACAAATTTCACTCGGTACATATGAGTAAAGGAATTAGTCAGAGTATCAGTTTAAACTAACATAATGGAAAAATCAGAACATTCCCATATTGGATAAACTATACAATAATTTGATGAAAATTTGTCATCATTGACCAAACCAGTGATTTTTTATTATGTTCACAAGAATCACAACCATGATTGGCTAACATTTGCGGATACGTAGTCAAATATAGGACTCTTTGCCTCTGCTCAATGCACAGGAACCTTCAGTGTGGCCTCACCTTTCCTGGAAACAATTCACATCCTTGCTGGCAGCCACCAGAAGTGAGAGAATAGCTGAAGATGTCCAGCAGTAGGAAACAAAGTCATAAGTTGCTTCTTTTCTTGGTGATATTCCAATAAGGTCTAAGGAATTTGGTAGATATCATCAAATCTACTAATTTAGAATTTGATGCATGGATTGCCATCTCAGAATTTGAGTCTTCCTTCTATTCCCTTTTTGTTCTTCTTGTGCCGTCAAAACACAGCTTGGCCATGCTGACAGGTGTAACATGGCACTAATATACCATAATCTGTGTGGGTTTTTCACATCTAGATTTTAAGTGTATGCTCCTTAAATAAGACAGATACATAACTGTCACATAGTCTATAAGCCACCCCATGATCCATCACTATCAACTGAATATGCCAGAGAGCTTATGTTACATACAAACTTTCAGCAACAAGTTTCCTCCCAACAAAGTGCCCTCAATTATGGACACAGATATACTTTGTTTTTTTCTGTGATGTATCATGTTAATGAACTGTTCAATTTAGTCTTCCTATTCAACCTTGGTTTAACTGTCTGGTTCCTTGGATTGTTCATTTCAAATAGTTTCAGGTGAAATTGCTGAGACACCAGGAAGAAAAGGTAAAAAAGAATGACCAAAGGGTACCATTTCATACCTTCAGTCTGCTAAAAACGTTTTGAATCCACAAATGTAGATCTGCATTAGCTACTATGGTTTAACTATGCATATGTAGAAATACTTCCCTGAATTGTCAACAACTATCCATCCTCATAGAGGCTGTTACTACATATTCAAAGTAGATTTCAACCTTGGCTGTGTCTGTATGTCATTTCTTCAAATAGTTGTTTCAGGAACATACTTACTTCAAATATTATCTTTTTAGATGTTGGCTAGATTTGGTCCAACACTTTCTAAACCAAAAGAAGGTTAAAAAAACTAGAATGATTTTAGTCCCAAAATTATCAAAGTTATGCTATGTCTATGAGATCGAAATCTCAAAAGTTTGTGACCAATGACAATTAATGAAGGTTTAATCATTTTGATAGGAGGCGAAATAGAAAAACCAATCAGATAAACATTTTAAGAAGTAAAAACAACAAATTGCAATTTGGCATTCTAATATCTGATATGCTAACAGAGGAAAGCACAACAAATTGTCACAGTACTTACTAATTTGATATGCTTACTAAGAGAGGAAAGAGAACACAATTTAGGATTAAAATAGCGAAATCAATTGTATTGTGATGGATATCATCCAAGGCCCAGACAAAATGCATATTAATTAGATCATTAGTATGTACTTCCTCCTTTAGCATTGTGTTTGCAGAAACCAGCAAATATTGATGGAGGCTTGGATGCAAAAGAAATAGATAAATAGAGCATATGCAGACATATGTTTAACTTAATAGGGCTAAGAAAGAAGAATCTCACAAGTAAATTTTGTGGTTTGATATCTCGATGACATATGCCAACAGCATTATGCATGTAAGCAAGTGCTCTACATATCTGCAAAAAAGTAGTAGTAGATAAATCAGAGTTGCTCAACAAAGAAAATCTAAGAAAAATAAATTTGACTTCCAATTAAGGGCATAAGCATTTTCTGCTAAAAATATGGTCCAGGACCAAAACAACCTTATATTTAATCCACCAAACCACTTACAAGCCAAGAAAATCAAAGTAGTTATGGACCTTTGGTCAAGTAGAATATCAAATGAAGAAGAAACACAAAATGAGTAATGTACTAGCCACAAATAGAAGGGATGAGGCTTGTTTCTGCAGATTTCCACTGAAAGACCCTAAATCTTCTCATTTTCTAAAATTGATGGATTTGTCTCATCCCAGTTTCAAATAATAAAACATAGTGACAAAAATGAAATTATTTCCGCATCATTACGTGCATAATTTCAATTTTTGTTTGATCTGTATGCACTTACATCACAATGCTTGATGCACCAAAGTGACCAACATGACTTGTAGATCTAACTTCCAACAGCAGGAAAAGCCAAAGAATCACTCAAGATAGGATTTTTTATGTGCTACATGGTGCACAAGTTTACGCGTCAAGGACTTTTCGAATAATGAAGCCAGATCAATCACACATAACATGGTTCTCCTAAGACTCTCACATACATGTACATGTCAAATGCTCACAGGCCTCACTACCATCTCACGATTACATGAACATCTTCATCTTGAATTAATATACATAAACTTGCAGCTCACCACCATATAAATTAGTTATAAAAGCCAAAAGTGCCCCTAAAACAGCACTTTTACTTGCCATGTAAAACATAGTCTCCATGACATGTATAAATCTTCTACTGAAGCCAAACATTCATTTGTTACTATTCACTATTACGGACAAACTTCTAAACAGGATGTTTGATGTACTGCTTATATATGTCCGTGTCTTTTGGTATGTTCATGCTTTGTACAGCATGTAGAGGGACGGCCGAATGCTTAATAGTCTCATTTTAGTTAGGTTGGTGGCCGCTTTAGGCTTGTAAATAAAGGTTGTGTCATGTGGACACATGTGAGAGATTATCGGTCTGTAATGGACCATTTTACCCTTTGTTGAGCAACTGTTCAGAGCTTGTAAAGCCTGTTTGTAATTTGCATTGTCTATGAAGTGTTTTCGAAAATGTTTGCTTGTGGATACCAAATGAGGCATTTTCTCTAACCCGTTCTCTCTTTTGTGGGTCCTAAGGGACATGGGAGGCTTCGGGGAGGCTGACCTTTGTGAACGGACACGCAAGGGTGCCGCACGACTTAGGCAAAACCAGCTAAGTCCGTGACAGATGGTATCAGAGCGGGACAAGCACTCATAGAAACACTTAGCATGCAAACGTGGGGGACCTAGCTGGGCTGCGTTGAGGGCAGTCAGCACACGCGCGACCGTTTGGGGGAAAACGGGCATAGAGATGTAGGGAAAAGAAGTCGCTCAGAGGAGCGGGTATCTGACATTAGCATTCAGAGGAATGGCCAACCCTTCGCGCAAGAGGCACCACGAGAACAGACAAGCTTGGAAGAATGCGGAGCGCACAAAGGTTGGGATGGCTGAGTTTGAGCTACGGCTCAACGTTGACAACTATACTTGATGGTGCTCAAGACGAGCGAGGCGCTTGGTAAAGGATGAGACCATGCAAGGTGGAATGAGTTGTTCAGCGACCGAAAGAGTTGTGCAAAGCACACAGAGGTGAGGGGAATTGCTAACTCAAAGAATTCGGTACTCATGCATGGGCTTGTATGCGGACGATGAAATGTTCGCGGCCATCCCAAGGCGACCAAAACTCGACGCCATAAAACATTGAAACTTTCTCTTCGGCATGTGAAGGATACGTCCGTAGGAGGCTGAAGGGTGCAACTAGTTCAGCATGTTGCTAGGCCTAGAGGGGTGCAGCGGGGGCTGTATTGACGTGGAGTCGCAATCTAGCAAGTGCGTTTGCAGGAGGCAAAACAATACATAGTTTGTTCAGCAGATCGGAGTAGTCCAAGGGGATGGTGGTCTCCGAAACGAAGAGAGATGTTGCTCCAACGAGATAGTTATCCAGGAGGGATAAGTCCTGGCTCTCCAGAGGGAGAATCAGGTGGGACGAACCTCACATGTTGAGGAGGAGTACCTCAACAAACAACAATTCCACGAAGCTCAATGGACTGAGCAAGCGGCGAGGAGTCGTCGCATGATCTCGCTCGAGAGAATGCATTGGTGGATGCATCGCGAGATCAAGTGGGGGAGCGACCCAAAGCAACTCAAATGAAGGCACACTTGGAGTCGATATGGAGATCGGACTCAAGGGAGGGTTGACCCGTGGAATGGTGGGCGCGAGGGCCACCATCGACTCAATGCAAAAACGAGGAGCGGAGCAACTTGGGTGTAACTTGGCGAAGTACCCAAGCCGCATGAAGGAAGCCAGCATAGAAGCTGGAACATGGAGCGGAGGCACACTACTTTCCTTAGACAGAGGTCAAGGACATGAACTCTTGCAGAGGCAAGAGTAGGATCATGTTGTTCCATGGGTCCTTCATTCTGGCAGAGCGGACTCATCTTGCATGGGGCCAAAGACGAAGGGAGCTTCTGGGCACATGCACCTTTTCTCAGAAGAGCATTTGATGGAGGAACTAAGGCGACTCAATTTGCGGAGGCGAAGTTGGGTTCAGAAGGCCTTAGCATGGGGCAAGAGGACGCAGAGGCGGGTACTCTTGAAGAATATGCCACAATGTTGCCATTCAAGTTGCCATGAAGGAAGCGGTGCACGGCGAAGATTTTGCTGGTAGGGGCAGAGGCCCAGGATCCAGACAATGGTGCACTAATTGCAGCGAAGTCGGGCGACTTCGGGAGCTACTAGGCGACGAACTGTCCTAGAGCGGTGCTTCATCTAGGTGTGACCCAAGAAAGGGTGGATGAAGATCGATTGCTAAAGGAGCGAACAAAATCGAAGGTGGAAGAGACCCTGCGATGTATTGGCAGAGGCCACACATGAAGGGTTCACAATTCGAGTTTATCCCACAAGGATCAGAATGCAATAGAAATGTCACTAGGAGGCGACATGGTGCAGCGGATCGTGGTGGAACAATTTGTGGCAATGCAATACACACAACATAGTCCCGTGAGGGACTAGATCATTCGGAGGTATGATCGGGAGCTACTGGAAGCTCCACTTCGGTGAACAACAAGACGGTAAAAAGGGCTATGGATTCAAGGAGTGAAGGCCATGGTACTGCAGAGGCGGGTCTTCCGTGTGTGCATCGAATTTTGCATCGGATGAAAACCTTGGTCATCAACATATGGGGGTTGGGTTCCACAAAGGGAAAAGTTCGAATGCAAGTACCAGTGAGTCCCATGGGAGGGACTTGATCATACAGAGGTATGATCGAAGCAGCTGGAGAGTTGGACTGCTCCAGAGCTCATATTCGCTTAAGGGAGCCCGACAAGTCAGAGGACAAGGTCGAGTAAACGAACGTTGCTACCAAGGAAGCTAAGGAGAACAGAATCGGTGCAAACCCTATAATGCGATGGCAGAGGCCATGCATGGGAGTTGTAGTATGTCTTTCCATCGACCAAAAGGGAGCTGCTTGGAGAACACAGAGGTGTTGAAGCAGGGGGTCGAAAGGGGCGAGGAAGCGACGACGAGTCCAGAGGGACTTAGCTACCCAAAATCAAGCATCAGTTAGAATGGAGGTGGACTCGGAGGAGTGCCACAGAGCAAGGTTCGCAATACCATACCGTACCGGTATTTCGACCTGGGCTCGGTACCGATACGGTACGGTATACCGAGCGGTACACTCAGGTGTGCCGAGTACTGTAGCACTGTAGCAGTGCTACAGTGCACTCGGACCGGTAACAGGCGGTCCGCGTACCGGCAACCTGTCGGACCGGTATGTACCGCCCGTACCGGGCGGTACAGTTCGGTACTGCAGACCCTGCCACAAAGGCATATCTACTGATTGTAAAGAAAATGAATGCGCGACGGATAGTAGTGCCATGGGCATGGCAACGCCATGGTACCGCAGAGGCGGGACTTCCGTGAAAGTCATTGATCCCTTGCTCTCATGGAGGGAGAGCGCTTGGTCGTGAAAGGGGCCGAGGAGGTGGAGCATGCAGAGGCAAACTCCAAGTACCGAGACAAGGCTGAAGGGCAGAGGCCAAGGAACTTCGTAGGACCGGTGTCAATGAGCTTCTCATCAAGATAGCCGAAAGTGAAGGACTTCGGGTCATGCAAGAGTGCATAACCAAGGAACGAAGCAGGCAGTACGCGGTGCTGTACCTTTGCTACTCAGTGGAGTAGGCGACAGGGTTGATGGAGTAGACGGTACAATCCCAGAGACGACCAAACCTATGAGAGAATTACTCCAAGTTGGGTTGAAAACTTCCTGCATTCCAGAAGTTCGATGGCATTGAGAAGGTGAATCACAGTAACTAACTCAACGCAAGGGGTGCAAACACTTCAAGTGCTTCAGAAGTGTGAGAAAAGAGCAGGCGAAGGCTAGTAACCAGCTCGATGCATGGAGTACAACCTCGAGGAGACGGGCGAAGTCAAGTAACCTTTGCCTTCTCAACCCTTAAGAGAATGGGCGAAACCGAGTACCCCAATTCTCTTATCTATCCAGCAGAGGAGCTCTGCACAAGCTCAAAGGCCCTTCGAAGATAATGGAAGACAATAGTTGTCAAATCCTCACCAACGGTGATTAATGCTACTGAGAGTAGATTGTCCGCTTCATTTCCCAACGAAATGCCAATCGAAAGCGGAAGTGATGCGAACCTACTTGGATGTGGCAACTAAGTGAAAGAAGAGTCAATAAGCAAATTTTGTGGAGGAAGGACCCAAAACTTCAGAAGTTTGTGAGACGATGCTCGTTAAAGCTCCAACAAGCATCCACCCAGTTCAAGCAGCATGAAGCATTTGAGAGACTGGCGTAGTAAGGATGGTCTTTTCCTTCATCTGGAGGATCCGTATGAACCAACAGGGATCAACACAACTCAGCCAACCCCACACTAGAGTCAGAGTCATTGGCGAGTTGAAGCAGCATGGCGGATCAAAAGTTCGACTACTCGAAAGCAAAAGCGGAGAGCAACTGGGAGCCAGGAGACACATTGCAACTGGAGCAGAAGATTGAAGACTCAGCAAAGGCGAGGAGTTGCAGTGTCGACAAAGGCTTCGACGAGGACGTCGAAGGAATAAGTGGGGGAGAATGTCACGGACAAACTTCTAAACAAGATGTTTGATGTACTGCTTATGTATGTCCGTGTCTTTTGGTATGTTCATGCTTTGTACAGTATGTAGAGGGACGGCCGAAGGCTTAATAGTCTCATTTTAGTTAGGTTGGTGGCCGCTTTAGGCTTGTAAATAAAGGTTGTGTCATGTGGACATATGTGAGAGATTATCGGTCTGTAATGGACCATTTTACCCTTTGTTGTGCAACTGTTCAGAGCTTATAAAGTCTGTTTGTAATTTGCATTGTCTATGATGTGTTTTCGGAAATGTTTGCTTGTGGATCCCGAATGAGACGTTTTCTCTAACCCGTTCTCTCTTTTATGGGTCCTAAGGGACATGGGAGGCTTCGGGGAGGCTGACCTTTGCGGACGGTCACGCAAGGGTGCCACACGACTTAGGCAAAACCAACTAAGTCCGTGACATCACGGATGCCAAAACCAACTCTTAATTCTAGATAATTTAGCATTGACAGCTCAACTGGGACACTAGTATGTGCAAGACACTTAAGACTACCAAAATTGACAAAATTGTCTTCTCAACAATAGCAGTCTCATATGTCCATGGTTGACAACATCGACTACTGCTGTACTTCCTCCAGTTTTGCACACATAATAGACTTTTCATTTTGAAAAAAAAAAAAAGTCTCATGCAAGTGCGAATTTGAGCTCAAATGATATGCTTTACCTGTCCAACATATATTTAGAATAAGGTCTAAGTAATGCATATCATATGCCAATTATGTGCCAGTGAGATTCCAGCCACAATTGATGCATTATATTTGCTGCATTTGTACATGTTGATTACTGCTGATTGTCACAATGCACTAATAATTAACATTATCCAATGCCCACTCGTCACTGCCAAGGTATAAACTATGTGGTAAACAAGTTACAAGCACATCACTTTCAACAAATCTATGCAGCTTCATACATTAAGGAAGTGGGGGAGAGATAAATTAGGATCCTGTTGGATCCATTTACACACCTGACCTCAGCATTCACATGATGAAGCATGCTTGATCTGGGTCCAATTTATGTATCCAATCGGGATAACATGTTATGTCCTGCTTAGGTCAAGTTGGCAGGTTCTTGTCAACCATTTCAACTCCTAAAGGCATCAACAGAAGTCTTGGCATGTCTTAGACGACCATCAAACAGAAGATAGCCTGTCATACTACTATCTGGGCAAAACAATGGAGACATGAGGGTCATGGTTTTTCACATGGTATCAATCAAGATTCGTCATACCGTGGTGTACCACCCTATATGGGTGGTACGTGCACGTCCAACAGGGGACTAATATGGCGGTATATATCGGTTTGTTGGTACCCTCCACTATATCATGTGTCGGTACGTCGATATGATTTGGTACGTAGCATATCGACAGCCGAACGATACACCAGTACGGACCAGGAAGGTGAACAATGGTATCAATCACTTGACTCCTAATGACATCAACAGATGCCTTGGCATGTCTTAAGCACAAGCATCAAATAAAACACTACCTGCCACACTGCTAGCTGGGCAGAGCAATGGACACAAAATGGCTGTTAGTCTTCATTTTTTACATAAGAGGCATGCTTCAGTACATGAAACAAGATCCTCAAACCTACATGGCACTTTTCAGTGGACAAAAGATTAATCTGGCACGATGAGTTAATAGGCGCCATAAGTGAGCTTAATCTCCAAAAAGTACTGAGAGAAATAACACATAAGGAATGTTTGAATCAACAAAAGATTAATCTGGCATGATGAGTTAATAGGCCCCATGAGTGTGCTTAATCTCCAAAAAGTACTGAGAGAAATAACACAAACAATGTTTGAATCAGCAACTATACAAATTGAACTTATATTATCATTTCAAAATAACAACATGATTTATTTCCATTATTAAATATGATTGAGCTTTCAGTTTAAAGAAACTAATACAGTCAGATGATTCCTAGCTGGCCAAACAGAAGTGCACACACCTGGTAAGTGAAGAGTTTCACATATATGAGAGGCATGCGTTGGTTCATCCTGTTGTACTGCCTTGCAATACGATTAACGGTCTCAGGTACAAACTCCAATACAAGGTTTAGGTACACCTCTTCCTTATTTGTAGTTGAAAAGAAGTAGTGCTTAAGAGCAACAATATTTGGATGGTCCAGCATGTGCATAATTTGTAATTCCCGGTTCTTGTAGCGTTTATCTTGAAGAACCTTCTTGATAGCCATTATCTCCCCAGTTTCCCTGCACTTGGCCTGTTAAAAAAACCAAAGGATCTGGCATTATTGGCAGTAGCTGGAGCTTTTAGTCTTAAAAAAAAACGTGTCTGATACCTGAAATACGACCCCAAAAGAACCTGTGCCAACCACATGTTCTGCTATATAACTAACTGCCTGTTCAGTCGACCACATTACCACAATGAGCCAGCAATAAGTCAGATGATAACATAAATACACAAACTCTTAGGGGAAAAAACCTGCTTTGGTTGACCATTACGGCCACGAACAGTAGCAGCAATTATTTGTCCAGCTTCAGCACTAATTCCATCAATAATTTCTGACTCAGTATCCTGAACAAGCATGCTATTTATTATCTTTAAAGAGCGAATCAAACTACAAAGAAGTGCTTCCTAGTTAGTTTAGGAAAAAAAAAAGGGAGGAGCTTTTCCCATTTCTAAATAAAAAGCAAACATAAATCACTGCTTTAAAAAAAGAAAGACCCTCATATATATATAATTAACCTTAAATACAACAAACAATAATTACTTCTTCATGTAGAAATTCAAACGTTACCATTTAGAGAAACCTCATGGACAATGGTAGGGCCACAACAAGCACACAAAAAACAAAGGAAGTGAAAATAAAGTTATCTGAAGTATACTTCTTCATCATCTGCATCCAGCCTGGCATCCTTTAACTTCATTTCCAGCATCTCTCTTCCAAGCCATTCAACTGAGCTTGATGACCCCTTAAAACTGTTCACCACCCTGGAACTTCCCACACCAGCATGCCTTAAACTCGCAGATGCCATGTATTGCTCACAGCCAAGAGTTCTGTTACTCTGGCCCCACGCTTATGGCTCTCTAACTCCAACTAACACTGAGTTAGGAAATCTGTACATCTGGAGGGGAAAAAATAATAAGAAGTCTGCACCAATATTGGAGTTTCCACAACGAAATAGTATTCTTGAAAAACTAGAACCTATGGATAAAAAATAATATATTAAAAACCGAAAGCGGAAGATAGAATTCAATTCTGATTTTCTCTGCCAACACTGACCCATGGATAAGGTTCCTAACAGAAGAGGCATCAGCAGTACAATTTAGCTTTTAAAAAGAGCTGGTTTAAGAATCTCAACTCAAATTCAGTAAACTTATTACTTTTAATTTGTACACAATCTACTTTTCTGCTTGGCATTTCAATGAAATTCTGTTGGCCCCTAGTAACTGTAAGCATTCTTCAAGAAACCAATTCACAAAACAGCCCTTTAAATAGAAGAAACAAATTGAGAAGGATTCATAACTGTGTGGGATCTATAGTAGGAAAAGAATCAGTAAAAAAGAAGATAATAAAAGGAGAGTGACTGAGAAGAAAAACAACATATAATTGAATTAGTGACTTGCTTTCTTGGAGAATAATTACATTTAATATCTTAACTTTGCATAATTAAAAAAGTTACAGCCAGCTCTTACTTCAATTGCTTGCTTCGACAAATAAAGGTTGTAGTCGACACTCATAAAAGAACTGCCAACCAAGCTTATCAAAGACATCTATTTCATGTAAAGGAGAGGACTGACAGCCCAAAATCTGATGCTTCCAGTATTTATTCATATCTTTCCAACGGTGTTTGAAGCCATCAATTGAAACATCCTTTGATTTGGGCAAAAGAGGTTTCATGAATCTCGCCTTTATTATTTATTGTACGCAACATACATCTACCACTTAGTGTGGGGAAGAGATAGTTTTCATTCGCTAGGTCATAACCAATATACCATAGGTAGTCAAATTGCCAGATCATTCAGGACAATAATTCACTGTCAACTGAATCTTCAAGTAGTTCCAAAATTTTTAATTATGGAACAACCAAAGAAATAGTTTGTTGTGATAGCAAAGCTGTAAATTCAGCTGCTTGTAATGCATAGTCATCAATTTCCCAAATATTTTGGACTTTGCAATCTTAATGATATTGTCGACTAGATGGTTCAGATGTTCTTCTGTGTAATTTAACACAAAGCACATTAACAAGGGGCATTTGTTGATCAGACCAAAACTTACCACCATACCTGTAAGTGCACTAGCGAACAAGGCTTTTATAGCTTTACACACTTCAATTATTGCAACTTAAACTATCATATGCATTTTCCACAATGAAATTAAACGTCAGATTGAGAGAATTGGTTTGGTTCCCTTATATGTTCTTTAAGACCAATATCATTTCCACTAAAACCATACCACCTCTATTGATACGATGACAACAACAGTAACTTTTATAAAAAAAATCTTTCCAAGGTAGTAAGCATGACCTATGTTTCTTAAAAAGAAAAAAAAAAGGATTCATGAAACACTAGAAATAACTTGCAGGAGTTCAAAATAAAAGTATAAAAAAAAATGTTAAAACCGTAAAACGGCAAACAAAAAAATAATAATAATCTTTTTTAATTTCCTTCTGAAGTATAATACAACTTTTTGAACAGGTCTTGATAATCCACTAATTTTTAATAGTGAAAAAAAAATACAAATTGCAAGCACATGAAGTCTTGGAATACTATAAGCCTGCATGAGTAGGTTTCGTGAGTCGAACTCCTCACCTCTAAAAAATCGTGAGAGATTACTCACATGTCCTGCCACGTTATTAAATGAGTTTAATTTTGAGAAAAATCTTCAGACCACATCACTACTAACCCTAAAAAAAAACACCGGACTTCCACAAAAATTGTAGTTTTCTACACACTCAACTCCCCAGAAGTCACCCCACAAAGAAAAGGAAGGCAGATCAAAAAGCCTGAAACTTGCATATCAGATAGAATCGTCAAAACAAAGATAGGGAGTGGCTTCATCATAGGGAAAAAAGGACACAAAATGGGTCTGTCAAAATTCAGAATTCGATCATTGAGTAGTAACAGAGGAACGAAAAGAAAGGCGCAAAAAAAAAAGAGTCTTCCAAAAAAAACAACAATTGCCTCCTTGTTATCAAGTGATTGCTCGTCTGTGAATCGCTTCGCGTACCTGGAGAAGAAACCGTCGAAAAGACAAGCAAAGATCGAGCATCTTGGGATCAAGAACACGATCAATCTAGTCTGGTAACTTACCCTCCCTCTGTCTCTCACACACACAGTGGAGGTTGTTCTTACTCGCCCCAAAAGTAGCCGCAGCAGTAGCAGTGGGGGTTCCTTGTTTATTATTTTTATAAAGATAATTACACCCCGCGAAAAGACCCAAAAGGGACCCAGATGATCTCCGCCATAAATCTCGTCATCTCCAACCTTAGCAGTCGGGTATCTGCGACCGGTGAGTCCGTCGGTGTGTCAACCGTTGGAGTTATTTTTATGGCGTCGAGAGAAAATTGAGAAAATAAAAGGCGTGTCGCAACGCGTTTCCCACCACAGAAAGGACGGGCCCCGCACGTTAGGTTAGGTGGGGCCCGTAGATTCCCACTGGGTATACGCGGGGTAGCGGCGCAGGTGGGCGAGTTTGGTATTCTGCAGACACATACCGGCACAAAGCTGACGCCCGACGACGACACGATTAGAATCGAGCGGAGTTTGTCGTCTTGTGAGGACGAGTCGGCCGCCGCTCAACTTCTTCCATTGTTAGGGTAAATTACAATACTGCCCGCATCAATCATACCTTTTGAAGTGGATAATATTAATTATAAACTTAATAAAATAAAGATAATTTATCGAAAAAACCTCCCACTATTTATTTATTTTTTTTTTTTATATATTTACCCGAGCACGCCGCTATATTCTCAAATTACTATAACTTGCTATAGGACATGGTCCATTATTATTATTATTATTATTTAAATTGATCCGATTCAATAAAATCTTTTATATAATAATAATAAAATTATTATAAATATTAATTATTTAAAATCGACTATATAAATCTTTTATCGCCATTAAAATCTATTTTAGTTAAATTTTGAATACTTAAATTTTATTAAAATTATTTTAGATCTTCTTCTATACCATCAACATTAATTATTTCACTATCACTTATGAAACAGCTCACCAAAAACACTCCTATGAGTATGAAAACCAGAACATAAAGCAAGTAGTATCAATATGTTCCACTCACTGATAAGCATTTCCATATTGTCAAAACCAGAACATAAAACAAGAAATAGCAATTCCACAATTTTCACAAATGGTTGGGAGTCGTTTATTGGATCCATAGGATTGAACATGGCTATGGTGACAGAAATCGGAGCATGAATAACATGTGATGCGAACGATCGATATTAATATATCACTACCAAAATATGTAAAAGCAAAAAATTAAATTGATACTCAAGCAGCTAACTAATTTCTGAATTGAATTTATAACAGCCCAAGAAAGCAAGTTGGAGACGGTGACCAATTCCACATGGAAGCAAGCACAATGTTCATGAAATGGTCAATATAGTTGAGCTACATTTCATTTGAAGTGTCCATCAATAACGTAACCGAGTCAAAACTTACTCAGCTGTAATCCACGAGATCAGCTTCGGGTGGATAATTTCATGTGTAGATTTGTCAGCGATCATTTTTTAGGTCAGAATCCAGTGACTCTACTGAACCCCTGAAAAAAGTTGGTCTTCTGCTTGAACAAAGCATTGAAAGAACACCTGAATCCAGTGACACAGTTCACTGACATTGCACACTATGTATGAAATATAAGAAAGAGAGAGAGAGAGAGAGAGAATAAATATTCAAGAGAAGATGAAACTGATATCAGCTTATAAATTCAGCAGGTTTGGTTTATGTCATGTTCGTATCATGAAACTAATGAAAAATGCAATTCATGCAGACCATAAAAAGAAGGAATTTCACCTATCAAAAAGAAATGATAAATAATATAAAAACTCAACAGTTTGCAGCACATGGAAATTGTGACAAACATCATAACAACGATATGAGTAATGAGAGTGTTAGCCGGCTTAGTTGGTATAGACTTTATCAGATCATCGAAAGTCTATTCAAATCCAGCATTCACAACTTATCTCTTGCCAAAAATAAAAATAAAAGACATAGTAGTTGTACATTTTCCAAATATCACAAGGAAGAAGAATGAAGCTATTCTGACCAGAAATAGCACACTGCTTTGCTGAAAGAAACCAAAGTCTGCCTGTCATCCAAGCCCAAGCTTCCCCATCTCATTTTGCACGGCATGATGATAAAAAAACAAAAGGAGCACCACCTTCCGGTATCAGAAAAGCATGTAGGGCAGATATCCATAGAAACTTTGCTCTATCCCAATTTCTTTCGTTGGTAAAACCTAAACATCCCTCACCTTAATCTTGATCTCAGTATGTGGATGGACCAGCTTCATTGGGCTAGAAGGATGTGAATTGAACTTCTTTACCAAAAACTTGAAACATGGCACCAAGAACATGTAAAGAGTACCAAGGATGAAAGGCACTGTGACAATCCAGCCTAACAACTGTAAAAATGAAGTATGTTATGTACATTGGCCCAAATAGGTAACCAAGTGCAAGGTTCACCGTACTACAATATACCGCCCTGTATGAGCAATATATACCGATTTGATAGGGGACCGATACGGATGATACATACGGATTTGTCGGTATGCCCTATCATGTGTCGGTGTGTTAGTATGATTCGATATGTACCATACCGACAATCAATCGGTACATCTGTACGGACTGGTAAGGCAAACCATGCCAAGTGATAAACAAACAAAAGCTTTGTATTCATAATGTAAACATGGTGAAGATGCCTCTTAGGCAATAGCAAGATGAACAAGGTAATGATAATCAATAGAAAGGAAAAGCAAGAGGAATAGTGTCTGCTGCAACACTCTTGCAGATAGTCTTGAACTATAAAACGTATACTACTTATAAGGAAGTTGCAGAAAATGTAGGGGTGTTTCACATGCTTTCATTTGTGTATGATTTTGTTTTGATGAATATCAAATTCACAATCATGCATATACAGGATTCTCCAGGCCTTGCTATTAAAAGAATTGTGAAATTATCTTTCATGATCTCACCACTGAGATAATGTGTCTAATACTGAAAAATATAGTCCAACATTGTATGTGAATAAAAAAAGAAAAAAGAAATAAAGAGAGACGATAGTGAAAATAGTGTGCTTTTCTTCTTTCTTAGTTGTTGTCATCAGTATATATGCGCTGAAGCTTCAACCAATCAATCAGATTTTCCCAGTCCCAGTTAAAAGTTAAAAAGTAAAGCAAAATGTTCCCAAGCTCAACTTAAAGTAACTACTTAATCAAAAATCAAAATTTAAAGTGCAAGTATGTAACTATTACTCAAAAGGATGGCATTACCATATCAGTTCCTTATTAGAGAATGTTCAGAGACAAAGACTAGTACCAACCGCGTGTAATATGGCAATTAACACTCCTTGCGAGGCTTGACCACTAACTACCTTGCTGAGTGCATCAGATGTTAGTGGGAAATGACGACCACCAGTGATGAGTTCACCCAAGCGCAAGAATGGAATCACCATACTTCAAAAATTAGAATTTGTTAATTGTCAGAATATGAGAATATACAGAAAGCAAAGTAGATGACGTAAATGATCCTTTTTTAATTGTATTCCTATTATAGTTATATGGAGGGTAAATACAATATTTAATTATTTTGCAGAACTTCTAATCTAGAATGTTGCAGACAACTGGCTGTCGTAATGATGAACCAACAGAAAATTAACTAAAACCAAATAATGTGATACAATATACAGTATGTTTTTGAAAGAGAACATTTTATTAACCTGGTGCCCCTTGCTAATGTAATATCATGCTGACACTATTTCACATATCACAAGTACCGCCAGATGACTCAAAATGTGGGAGCAGTTGCAGAAACAGTTTATCAATTGGAATGAAGAGAGAGGGAAGAAGGTATAGGATATTGAAAAAGTTTATTGATAGTATGCTAAACATGGAAGTAGAACAGGCAAAATTCAACAAGTGTATCAGATAGTATGCTCCAATAAAACCAGATCGAGCAATTTCGCTTTTTCCAAATATAAACCTTCAAATCAGTAAAAATTGGTCCACACTGACGGGTACATTTAAGATTTTAAGAATATTTTATTTTGTTTTCTTTGAATATGACTTTTCTTTTTAGAAGCTGCCAAAATTCTGAAGCCAGTAAGAAAATTAGTCCAGAAAAGAAGACAAGGAACAATGTGCCTTATTGAAGATCATGTCCAAAAACCGAAGTTAATCCTAATTCAAAATAAAGATTATTTCTGTACTCTATCGTATATATCTGCATGGGACTAATTCAAATCCAAATTTAATATGCTTATTTTTATACTCTGTACAGTATGAATGGTCCTATACTATACAAATAGGGTAGAATGATGAGTAAATCAAATCAAAATTGATTGGCAAAATAATCTTATTTTAGTTTCTTTACTCCACCATATACATATAGCTGAAGTCTTCTTTATTTTATTCTCCTGATATGCTTTAGATTTATATAATTATGAAATCAATAAAAACTCCATAAAGGCCTTCTTTCAATGGTGTGGTTACATCTTCCATGTATGAGACATGTTGGAAATGTGAAGTCTTCATCTCTAAGAGTGATTCCTTATGCCAGAGGGAGTCATATTTATCTTTTTATTTTTTCTTTAACTTCTTCTAATATCATATCTCTTTTATTTTTTGACAATTATCAAATCCTGCAAAAATTTTTGCTCTATGATCCCTTCTTTGGATTTTTGTTCCACACCAAAATGTGCAGAGTTTTGGCAGTGCTGTCCTACATCAGGTGGGATCCCACCAAACACCTTGCTACATCACACCAATATTGTCCTAAACAATTTGTTGTTCAGTGTGATATTTGCTGAAAACGTGTTGCTAGAGCAGACATTGTTTTGTTTCAGTTCAAACCAGATATTTAACTTGTAAAATCTAGCATTTGTCTAGAGCCTTATTGACCACCTTGATAATTAATGTTGAATCTGTTTAATTCTGAAGTGATTGCATAAGTCATTCCGCAATTGCATGATAATGAATCATATAAGAACTGCATAAGAATACCTCAACATGTAAATTAAAGAGGGATACTCGATAATACCTCAGCTCAATTGGAGTGGCAACAAAATTCGCAAGCATTACACTGGGAGCATGACAATGATGTCTGAGTATTGCAATCGCCATCCCACAAAGAAATACAGTGACCCCTGTTATCAAAACAATAAATGGTTGGATAAATATTTTAAATTGCACCTTACATAAAAAGCTGTCTGACTGTGGATGCGCATCCAGGAAAGAGTATCAATGTTGTAAAGTCAGCTGGCATCTGGCCTTGCTTTTAACAGATATATGGTCTTAAGTCTTAACAACACAAACTAGATGGTTGAAACTAAATGAACAGTTGAACACTTACAATTATAAGAAACAACTTTGTCAAGGACTAGAATTTTTGATATATTTATTATTCAATAGAAAGTATTAATTCATGAACAAATTTATCAAAGAATATTGGCAAAACCTAATCTAGCTCAAACCATTCGATGGTTGACATGATAGATCACAGTTAAAAATGCCATGCACAAATGAATATATGATATATCATTTAAATGCATGTATGAATTTAATTTAGTCCAGTAACTTGTTTTAGAACTAATGAATGTTAACACAGATGAAGTCTCTTCATTGTCTCGACCACCTAAGACAAGTAGCTATTTTTTTAGTTTTATTCCAATAACACCTATAAGGCAATGGCTTGTGAACTTCATAATGAAAATAATTTGTGGAACAGAAAGCAAGAGCAATTAAATCACAATACGGGAAGGTTAGGTTAAACATTGGTATGACTTATTTGTAACGAAGTCCATGAACCAGACATAAATTGCTTCATTTAAGCAAGTGAAGCAGTTTGAAATCAGTAAAAAAAAGAGCATCACATAATTCAACAATCATTATTAAAATCACACAGTTAAAGCTGCTAGCGATTCTTTTTCCATACCACAGATCGGGAACAGTCCCAGAGACATGCCGAGAGCAGCAGAAAATGCCAACTGTTTTGGCTCTGCACCCCTAGAGGAAACGATACACCAATAAATATGAGCATTTACGTAACTGAAAATGAAGACCGATATATATCACATACACTGCGTCGGAAAAGCTACATACAATCTACTCCAAGAGTAAAATACAAGGATCCAAAATTTAGATCTCGTTATCTCATCCAAGCATCAAAATAGAACCAAAAGGAACACCAGAGACGAGGAATCGGAAATCAAATTAAACAAATTGAGAAGGCATTGTCTCACTTTTTGATTATTTGGAGAAAAGGATCGACGACCTTCCGGTTCATCCAAGGGATCAAACCGCACCTCCAAAGTGGCATCTTCTGCAGCAACTCCTTTCCAGAACAAAAGAGGCAACGAAAATTTCAAGAAACAAAAGCAATTCTCGTCCTTTCTTCTGATAACAGGGGCAAAACTTAGAATCTTCGTGATCAAATCTTTTCGGTGAAACTAACGTTCAAAATCGGAGGGCAATTAGGGGAAAAAGACTGGTATTGGTAGATGGGAAGCAAATTGGATTATGATTAGGATCAGGGTTAGGGTTCGTGGGAGGAGGAGGATCGGGTAAAGGCCTTCCTCTCCGTGCTCTGGGTGCATCAGCGCGGCAAAGAACCGATCGATCGTGTGGAAGCGAGAGTGCGAGGGACCGTACCGTGTCATAAGCAACTCAGTCGAGGCGCCTTGTATCGTATTCAAATAACGGGCGTTATGATCATTGAGCGGTGTCCGAAATAACTGCTGTTATATATTGTCCTGTGTTCCAATAACGTCCGTTATAATCATTCTGCCGTATCCAAATAACGGCCGTCATAATGATTTGAATAGATTTGGCTCATCTTTTATTTTCTTTCTTCCTTCTTTAGTTTCATTCAGACGCTCATGTTGATCTCTCTCTTTCAGCAAACAACATGAATTTATTCTCTCTCTATTACTTGGTAACAATGTGATCTACAGAAGAAAATTCACGTTGATTTTCAATGAGCAATGCATTCATGAAAGTTCAATCTTTACTATCTATGAGAGATTGCTAGTATATATATATATATATATATATATATATATATATACATATATATATGTATATATATACATATGTATATATGTATGCATATATGTATATATATACATATATGCATACATATATATGTATGTATAAATATATATATATATATGTATATATATACATACGTATATGTATATATTTGTATATATATATATATATATATATATATATATATATATATATATATACATATGTATA